ATACAGTAGAGCGTCATTTATCCGAATCAATTGGGGACTGGGGTTGTTCAGATAACTTATTTTTTGGATAATCGATTATGTACGAAAAAATATATTAACCTATCCTATGTTGAAATTTTTCTCCGTTGCGTGTCACTTCGCGTTGAATTTTCGTCGATGTTAAGCCTAACGTAAACTTTTTAAAATAATAATCGTGGCTATTGTATCGTTAAAAATTATTTCTTTATTTTTTACAAACGAAATAAATATATTTAAAACTATAAAAACCAAAAATTATGTACTTTAGAAGTTGATCTAGTATCAAAAATGTTTGATTCAGCACAACACATCCTCAGAAAAACACCACACAAAAATGCCAGGGCTGCCAGCTAAATCACACACATCAACAAAAAAAATATTGGAGTAGCCCAAGATATAGCCAAAGATTGCAGCGCCACAGCACTAGCAAAAATTTAAATTTGTCGACTGAAATGCTTTCGGTTAACTGACATTTCGGATAACCGGCTTTCGGATAAACGATGCTCTACTGTATATTATTATCCAACTTGTTTTTATTTTTTTGATTCACTAACGCAAGGTGTGTTACTATTTCAACACTTGGTGGTATTCCATTGTTTTTATTTATAAGCTTATGTTACAATGCAATTCTCCTATAAGCAAACAAAACTAACATATAAATATGTTTGTATTTTTCTTAACTTTCAGCAATTATTAGGCTGCAATTTGAAAAAGTTATAAACCTATAAATTCCCACTGTCATCTGTCCATTCCATCCGTCCTTCCTTAATCTCGAGAATGGTGTTAGATAGATGGAAGATGAGACCAGATATGAAAAACTTAGGGGCAGGAGGTCCCAATTAACTATTTATGAACTTCTGGCTTAAATTGGAAGTTACATTATTTCAATTCAAAAATTTCCCCAGAATGGAATTACATAGATCAGTGTTTCCCAATTAGTGGTATGCGTACCCCCAGGGGTACGCAAAATTGCACGAAGGGGTACGTGCAGCAATCTAAAATCTGTCAATTTAAAATTTAAATGCATGAGATGAAGCGATAAAAAAAAAATAATGGGTGGACCATCAAAAATTCGGCAATTTACAACACAATGTCAAATGCACAAATTCGTTTATTTATAACTAAAAATATTTTCGAAATTTCATCAAAAAATGCATTTGTGACAATACCTAAATCAAATTCTTACGCAAGAAACAAAAATTGTACAATTAACACAAATTGTGTTAATTGTACAATTATCATTATTGTAATGTCAGCGAAGCGGCAGTAAAATATTTACTACCATTTTGCACAAAATACCTCTGCAAGAGCGGATTTTCGGCCGTGACAAACATGAAAACTAAACATCGTCACTGACTTCGACTCGAAGATGACTTGAGACTGAAGCTGACCAAAAAGCGACCAGATTTTACAAAGTTGTGCAAAGATAATCGTGCACATTTGTCACATTAAAATTAAATAACCTTATGCTATTTTCATTATTATTAGAATTGTATTTTAAAGGTAATAAATGTAAAAAAAAAACTTATTCTATTTATCACTACCTGTCTACCCACAGCTTCACCTGCATTATATTGAATTTTCTCGTGGGAATTAGATATTTTCTCGCAGTAAAATGTAGCCTATGTCCATCTCCAACATGTAAGCTATCTCTGTGCCAAATTTTATTAAAACCTGTTCAGCGGTTTAGACGTGAAAAAATGACAGACGGACAGAATTACCTTCAAATTTATAATATTAGTATGGATTAATATGTATTTCTCCTATAAAGGGTACGTGAGTTTGAGCTCTTTCTTGAAGTGGTACGCAGGAAGAACTAATTGGGAACCACTGATCTAAGTCTATGTTTAATTAGCCAAGTTATGGTCCAGTTCAAATTTAATTTACTGTATTGTTGAAATAATTGTTAGTATCATATAAATGGTATTTTATGCATGCTTAATAGCATATATTTCAATTTAATGTGTCTATAATTTTGGAAAAAGTAAAAAATATAAGATATTTCAATTATGCAGTTAATTGACTAATAATTATATAAAAGTGTAAGCAGTTATTGATTCTTTATTAATAACTCTAGTGATGGCCAGGTGGCTGTAGAAGTAAGACATCTACTTGCTTTTCTAAAAGCATCTGTTTAAATTCAGATCAGGTCTCTAGGAATTTCTGGATAAGCTAATTTGAGTATATTGTTCTATTTCTTACCATCTAGCCCACCATACTCAACCTTTTTTTCTCTCGGGCCACATACACATGATAGCTATTACACGCGGGCCGCAACATAACAATTATAATAAAAAACTTACTTAATTTCTCACTTACCCTAGAAATTTAGTGTCACTGTTGATATTGCAAACATTTTTTCACAATTTCGTTAAAAAAATTTTTTTAATACTCTTTCTGCCCTATGGGCACTAAGAGGGCCTCTTATAGCAGGCCCATAGCAGACACCATTTATAGCAGGCACCATTGTGGGCCTGGGTTCGGCCAGGCCCACAATGGTGCAACCAGGTGGTGAGAGGCGGAGCCTGACATATCCGAACAGACCACTCCCTGAAAATTTCCTGGGGGGATTCCCTGACCCGACCGGATTCAATTCAGAGCGGTAGGCTGTCACCTTGACTGCTCAGCTGTCAATTCATTTAAATCAGGTTTGTAACTGCTGCATGCTACTCGTAAAACGGCATCCAGGTGTGAATCAGTAAACCAGTTTCTATATATATTCTTTACATATTTCATTTTTGATTATGATGTTTCACATAGATACATTGATGCGAACAACGTAAGTAAAATTTGAGATTTTACAGTCTTATATTGATCGGGCACTACTTTCCAGAAGTGGTAATTATTTCCAGAAGTTAACGTAATTATTTTCCACTCTCTTCACGTCTGGGCCACTCACAAAAGCTCAGCGGGCCCATGTGGCTGGCAGGCAGCAGGTTGAGTATGGTGGGTCTAGCCTATCCCTTTACAAGGTAAGTCCACCTGTAATAGACAAATTGAGACCAACTGTAAAGCTTGTAGCAAAGTGATGCTTGAGAAATCATGAACTTGAACTTCTTGTGTGGAAATCATAAACTTTTATGTGGAAAAATTAGAGCTAAAATTTTTATAAAGCAACAATTTTCTGAAAAATATCAGGTCAGTCCATAAGTTCATAGGTATTTTATGACCTTGAGAAAAATCTTGTTTTGCTGTTAAAAATGTCAGTCTAATATGATACTTTTTACACTGAAGTGTTAAATTGGATCTCATTCATATAATACTGTTCAGAATTGGGAACATTTCAGTTGTTTATTTTCATTAAAATGGAAGTAACAGATGAATATAAGAGACATGCTTTATACTTTTTATTTTTAAGTGATGAGAATGCTACAAATGCAGCCAAAAAATTAAATACTGTTCATAATCAAACTGTAATTAGTGTAAGGACTGCACAGAAGTGGTTTGAAAGATTTAGAAATAATGATTTTAGTGTGAAGGATAAGGGTCGTACTGGAAGACCCATTGACTTTGATGATGATGCTCTCTCTGCACTAGTTGAAGCAGAACCATGACTTTGGAAGACCTGTTGACTTTGATGATGATGCTCTCTCTGCACTAGTTGAAGCAGAACCATCTTTAACAGTTGATGAAATTGCGGAACGTTTAAATTCATCCCATGGAACTGTTGATAGACATCTACAACAAATTGGAAAAGTTTCAAAACAAAATTCAAAGCTAGGAAAATGGATAGCACATGAACTGTCAATAGCTAACCGACAATGTGTAAACGATAATAATGTGCATTTGCACGTCTCTTTTATCCCGCATTACTTTAGAACCTTTTCTTGATCAACTGGTTACTGGAGACGAAAAATGGATCCTCTATAATAATGTGACAAGAAAAAGACAATGGACAAATCACGACAAGCAGCCAAAACCGGCTGTAAAAGGTGGGTTGCATCCAAAAAAATTCTTTTGTCTGTTTGGTGGGATATGTCAAGTGTAATTCACTTTGAGCTGTTAGAGCCTAATCAAACAATTACAGCTCAAATGTATTGTGATCATTAAAGCGTTTAAACGAAAAATTGAAAAAAAATTGACCATCATTAGTGAACAGAAAGAAAGTTCTCTTGCAACATGACAATGCCAGACATGCTGCAAAAATAACTGTAGAGAAACTCAAAAGCTTCAACTGGGAAATTTTACCTCATCCACCATATTCGCCAGATATTGCTCCCAGTGATTGTCATCTTTTTCGGATTTTGCAGAATTTTTTAAAAGGGAAACTTTTGAGGATGAGAACAATGTAAAAAACGCTATTTCTGAATATTTTGATTCAAAACCAAAATCATTTTACGAAGATGGAATTAAAAAGCTACCATCAAGATGGCAAGAAATTTACAAAATAATGGTGAATACATTATAGATTGAAAAAAAATTTAATTAAAATTTTTGTTGCTTTTTTTGTAGATAAAAAATATGCATGAACTTATGGACTGACCTTATATTAATTGGTTTTCTACATTTAACAGTTAATATTTTCAAGACTTGTATTATATAGATTTTTTTAATAGAAAAACATAAAAATACAATTCAGTTTAGTTTATATATAAAGTTAAATCTAGTATTTGAATTATCCAGACTAATAAATAATTTTGAAAACTATTGTATATTAAATAATTTATAGAATCAAAAAGTACTATTATTATCTAACAGAAATATTTAATAAAATATTCATTCATAATTTATTATTTTTCAGTTTCCATATCCAGCTCCTCAGCCTAATGAGCCCACTAGAACTTTAAGAAGTCTGATAAATATAAGAAAAGAATCATTGAGATTTGTAAAGTAATTATTTTTATTAAACCAGTTATTATGTATTTATTAATCATATTTAGTTAATGTAATAACAGTAGTTATAAGTAATAAAACAACTTTATCAAATAGTTTTAATGCTATTATTAAACAATTTCTGTTATAATTAAGCCCACCAATGGCTGAGTGGATATAAATCACTAAAGACTGATAATTTGCCTCACCAATGGGCTAACCACATAGTTTTTCAGTTTATTCATGCATCTAACACCTAAACAGGAGCCAGTTTCCCATAGAAAGTTCTCCCAGGAATTATTCCTCGTGGTAGATTGATCAAATATTTTATTGTATAATTCCTTCAATCCAATACAATCCTTTACAGCTAATAATCATTGATCTCTTTACATTAGATTTATATTAAATACATTTTTATAAATAACGTCAGTTAAATACAGTGAAATTTTCTAAAAGTTTATCTTATGTTTAACCAAAGCTTTATTTAATTTAAAAATTGATATTTAATCTTACTTTTAATCTTTTATAACAAATACATTCTAATTTATTCATTAGGAAAGAACAGTATGACAACATATTGTTAATTATATCAAAATGAAGTATATGATTGCCTTTGTGCATGTTGCATTTGTGTACAAAAATGATAAATTTGTAACTTGTAAATAGCAAGGAAATTTAATAAAAGTATATTAATTAACAAAGTCTATCTATTTACAGTCCATTTGTAAAGGATTGGATTGAAGGAATTACACAATGAAATATTGAGTCAATCCACCACGGGATACTTCCAGGGAGAATTTTCTATTGGAAATGTGTATGGAAGTATCTAAAAAATAAAACAAATTATTGTGAAACTTCTTTTTGTATTTTATAATAGACTGTTTAAACTATACAAACTCTTTACGGTAAGTCCAGTTTTCTCCATTATCAGTTATTGCCTGGCATCTTCTGGCCATGCTTTCCATCAAATTTTCTGCTTATTCTTGTTGTAAAGAGCACTGTATTTGCTAAATCTTGTTCATAATCTACTTGAGATTGTATGCAGTCTTTTCTTTTTTAATCTTTTACATATGACCACACATTCTTCATCAGATTTGCATCTGGTAACAGTGCTGGCTAATTCATTGTTGGATTATGCTTCCTTCTTGGACTAAGTGCACAGATGGCTCTATTGTTTTGGGTCATTGTCCTTGTGTAACAACCACTGGCTTATGTCATCACTGAAATACTTCTTAGCAGATCTCAACAAGCAATTTTTATAAATATTGCACATTTCTCTACATTTAGGTTGTTGTTAGTGTCCCAAAACCACATTCACAGAAGCATACCTAGACGTGGACTTTTATTGGGTGTTTGATGGTATGTTGAACAATCCCATTACTCTGTGTTGACTAAGTTTTTTTAAGAGACCATCATGCCCAGAAAAATGCTTTATCTGAGATGAATACATTGCTTCAATCATGGCCCATATTTTTGTATGCCCATGCAATTTATTTTTTAGCATGCTTTTCTGACAAAAGTGGTTTTTGAATAGTGGTTTGGTATTTAAGATTTTTTCATGTAGGTGACATCTAATTGCATTTATTCAAATATCTGTACCCTTGTTATGAAGAAAAAGTTAGCCTTAGTGCAACATCAAGTTTGGATATTGTTCATAACACTAGTAGATCATTTTTTATTGCTTTTCTGTCATCACAAGATTTGATCCTCTGTTGCAAATCATCCACATTTCTAACCAACTTATATGAACTCACCCACTTCTCCTTGATTGACTGAGTTTTTTAATTAATTTTGCAGCAGCAAACTCAATTAAATGTACACCACCTAGTCCCAATGAAGAAGCATCAACCAATACTTTTGTTTCCTTGGATACATCATATAGTGTTAAGATACGATGCCTGGACACAATTTCCTTAATTTTCATAAATGCCTTATCAAGATGTCAAGTCAACAGGTTGAGGTATTTACCTTAGCCTGTTGACTTGACATCTTGATATTTGAAATGGCTCTTAACAATTTTATTTAAATGTTTTAGGTCAATACATAGCCTAATTTTACCTCCTAGCTTGGACACAATAACTACAGGTGCATACCAAACAGAGGGTTCTTGGATACTCGCCATAACAGTTTTTAGAGCAAAGCATTTCCAATTTCAGTTTTAGGTTCTTTTTTAGTGGCAAAGGAACTTGCCTCAATGCATTTATAGCATATAGCACTGCATCAGGTTTTTTGATGTATGGTTGCTTAGAATTATCCAGACTAATAAATAATTTTGAAAACTTTTTGTACAGGTAAAATGACCTATCTTGGGATGTAACCTCAAATGATATTAAAATTTATTAGAAAAAGCTTTTACTGTAAAATTTAATTAGTTAATCATGATAATTTTTATTTAAGTTATTCATATAACTGTTATATAATTTATTAATATACTTTTTGTTCACTTTTGTTTTTATTTTTTTGGGTGGATATCATTTGTCTTTCAGACTTCTCTTCTATTTTGTAACAACAAATAAATAAATATCTATAAAATTAATCAACAGCATTGGGAGTTAAAAGAAGATAACTGAAATATTTTATTGAAATTTTTAGAGTTCCGGAAGAAGGTGAAAGAATAACAGACGGAAATGCGCCATCCAGCTCTTTATATAATCTCGAGTTTACATTTGATTCCGATGTTCGTTGTTCGATCACTATATATTATTTTTGCAGTGAAGAAATTACACAAAATGGAGTAATGTAAATAAGGATTATATATCAATTTCATTTCAAAATAATTTAAACTATTTTAGTTTAAATGCTACATTTTTACATTTTATGGAAGTGTTGTTTTATTAATATATATCTATCAATTCCTTTTTGAATATTTATAAATAGTATATAGATATATATTTTACGTATAAGATATACAGGATGGCTTAAAACCTTCCTACTAAGTTTAATGCTTTATTTATAACCAAATAAAAAGATATAAAAACTTACCAAATAGGTTTAAATTTGCATTTGAAGCCATTTATATTATAATGTGTTCAATGTGTTTGCTCTGTCTTCCTCAATCTGATTTCTGAATACTTTCAAGAAGTATTCTCATAAGAGTGAAGATTTCACATTTAATAGGTGACATATGTCTTCAAAGTCTTTGAGTAGATTTGGTAGACTTTATTTTCATGATATTTCTGTGAAAAGAAATCTCAAAGATTTGGGCCCGGAGAATATGCAAGCCACACTATTCTCTTTTGTGATGCTTTCTGGAAACATTGAAGAGGAGAGCAAACAGATTGAATACACAAATAATTTCAAATGCTGATTTGATTGATGTGTAAGAAAGATTTGTGTTCCCCATTATTGGTTCTAATGAAGCATTAAACTGGTAAATAGATTCTGGAGTGCACTGTTCATTTCAATTTTATGGTTTATTTATTAAATCAATATTTATATTATAGCTATACGCCTCGAGATCCATCCATGAATTCGGAAACTTATCATTATAAGAGAGGAGCTAATCAGCAATTCAATCAAGTTTCACATACTTTTGATCCAACTAAATATACAGAAGAAGAGGTAAATATTTATCTTCTTTGGTCATACAATCTAAGGTAATTTTTAATTTTTTTGTTTAAATATTTATTAATGTATTGTTGGATAACTTTTTTTAAATAGTTGAATTATCAGTATGAAGATGAAATAATGCCAGTTGTTATACAATGTGTTGCTGAAGAGGGTGATGGTAAGTTTTGATCAATACATTAGAATTTTTTTGAATTAAATGAATGAAATTAAGTCTATTTTATGGTCAATAAGGAAAACTATTTATGAAATAAATGCCAATCATAGATAAGGATGTCAGTTTATTCACTAATAAAAGTTTTATTATATACTAACAATGCAATTGGAACAAAATACTTTTATCTACAGTGTGTGTAAAAAGTATAAGAAGACTTTTTTAGGATGTAAAAAAGATTTTTAAACTTAAGAAAAGAAAATAATAGTGATAAACAACTGTTTTTTATTCTTACATTTTACAAACCAAACATTATTTTACTTCTTTCTTTAATAATGTTATAACCTATGGAAGACATTTTTAATTAATACAAAGCATGTAAAAAGTTCTTTGTAGGCTATCATAAAACATTAATAAAGACAAATTTGTGTTAAACAGGACAGAAAAATGAGTACTATCTTCATGTTTTTTTCTTTCTTTGGAAGAAATAAGGCTTTTTCATTCTTTTAAACACCTTTTTACACTTTTTAAATTTTTCACATGGATCTTCACTCAAAAAAAGTACTGCCATTTTTAAACATCTGTTCTTTAATTTAAAAGAGAATGATGAATACTTATTTTATATGGATTTAACTTTAATGACTTAATAATAAGAGACAGAACCTTTTAATAGTTATTTTTGTGTTTTACAGAACCCAGGCAATCTCATGTATTAATAGCTGTTGTTGAAAAAAATGCTGATAATATATTTTCTGTGAAGCCATTAAAACAAAAACTGTTCATTGATGGCTTATGTTATCTTCTACAAGAAATATATGGCATTGAAAATAAAAATGTATTTCAGCCAAAGGTAAGGTAATTTTTTTCTAGTTTATTTTATATAAATTCAAATTACACAATTTAAAAATAAATTATTTAGAATTACATTTGTTTTTATAAAACTCTGAAGATTTTATAAAGCTAAAAACAATTTATTAATGTATGAAAAAGTTTATAATAATGTTAATTTTTCTTTTCTTTGCTTTTTGCCTATAGGCACTAAGAGGGCCTTTTTAATTGTATACATTTTAGATTCTTACCAGGTCCACAGTGGGTGTGTTTGGGTGACAAGGGATGGGCCTGACATCTATGACAAACCACCCACACAATATTTCTTGGGTTGCTTGCTTGGATTCTATCTTGGTTTTCTAGAGCAGTAGCTTGATGTCTTAACTGCCCCAGCCATCTTGGCCATCTTTTCTCATATGTGAAATTGAAATAGTTTTTTTTTTTTTTATTGAAAATGATAATATTTATATAGCACAAGTCTAAGTTAAATTTTAAAATAAGAAAATTTTTTTAAATTTTACTGGTTTTAATTTTTAATCATTCAACCAACACTCAGATAAAAGTTTGTAATCATTACAGTAACACCTTAAATCACCAAGAAAAGATTTATTCAATGAACATTTTCAAACTGCTTGAAAGACCATGAGGTTTTAAATTTTTGGAACATTAACAACTGTTCCTTATTAATGTAAGAACATATTTAAAATTACAAAATTACAAAGATTTGTTTCAAATAAATTGTTATTTGAATTCAAAGTAAATATGTAAAAGTATTAAAAAAAAAAAAATGATAATGATAAATGAAAGAGAAAGAAAATGTGGTAAAAATAAAAGAAAAAGGAAAAAAATCACATTTTCCGATATTGTTTTTTATTGAATGAGCATTAAGGGTTAGAATCAGGTGAGTTCCTCTCAACTATATAGTTTCATGTTGTGGGTAGAATTGTGGTATCCTTATAGTTCAAACATTTCCCTGAAAGGCTATTTCTATATATCTCCACCTTTTTCAAATATGTTTGTTGAATAAATCTTTTCTCAGTGATTTAAGGTGTTATTGTAATGGTTTAAGTTTGTTAGAATCTAAATTACTTTTACTTTCCTGGCTGTTTTATATAACAGAGGGAAAGCATGACAATCAATCATAAAAATTACCCCCCAAGAATTTACATTTTTGGACTTGGGGAGACCTTGAAACATCAAGAAATGCAAAATAATTTGGAATTTTTTTCTGTTTGCATATGTTTGGGGAGCAGTTTTTTGTTTACCCACTTTGAAACTTAATAACTCTTGTGCCTTTTGTCAAAACTTTCTGAAATTTTACAGGGAGGTTTGAGTATTAGGGGATTGATACTATTAAATTTTGATGGTTAAAGGTCCAGGGAGTCAAATCATATCTTGAGTGGGCTTAAACTTAATGAAGATTTCACTTGTTATTAACATTTACAATTTTTTTTTATAAAACTCTTCTCTACCCTCAAACATAAACTGTTTGCCATTTTATGATAATTAATGTGATATTTTATTTAAAAGCTTTTTATAACAGATGGCACAACACACAATTTTAAATTCTTTTACCTAAAAAGTAATGCAACTTGTTGATTTTTAAAAAATTGTATTTATTAAATAAAAAAAAACAAAGTTGTTTATATTTGTATATAAGCAGCTTTGTATGTAAATCATTTCCACAAACTTTTGCTTGCATTTTATATAAATGATATAAATTATAAGTGCAAATGAAAACAAGACAGGTAAATTCAATGTTATGTTATGGGATTAATCACTTAAACCTTGTAGGACTATAGAGCATTTGTCATAATATAATGGCACCCCAAGCTGAGTACCGTGACATGTATGGTAGTGTATGTGGAATTTTTAATACTCTAGTGTAATTGAATCCACTCCCTCCAAAGACAGTCTCTTTCTCTCCAAAACATCAAAGAATTTCTTAACTTGTGAGTCACTGGTATGGATGATACCCATTAAACGGCATTCCAATTAGTGGCACTGACACATTTCTTGCTTTTCCACTTCTGCCTCTGGTTTGCCAGTTTTGTTAAGGTTTGGGGTTCTGCTCAAAAGATGCCCCAATTAGGCAGAGCATTTTAACCAAAGAATAGTTTGCTTAGAGTGCTGTTAAATTATAGAAAAATGCTCTATAATCTGTACATGGGTTTAAAGATAAATGAATTTGAATGAAGAACATAAAAAAATTCTTTAAAAACTTTTGTTAAAAGTCAAAATACTTTAAAAATAAATTAAAATGTTGTCATTCTAATAAACTACAAAAAAGTTAATTAAATTAACATAGAAATCTTCAACTTCAATGTTAATCTATGTTCTCATGTTTTTGAAATATATATTATTTTCTGAATTGTCAGAGAATCTCAGAAAATGATAGTTTTAGAATTCTATATCTTGATATTATTTCACTTACAGTTGTAGAAAGTATGTTAACTAATAAGTTACATTAAGAAAATTTTTACAAAAATGTGAAATCATATATATTTTTTTTAAGGATATAAGTGACGATGAAGTTGAAGATAGTGGGTCTGAATGTGTGATCTGCATGTGCGATGCTCGAGATACACTTATTCTACCGTGTAGGCATTTATGCTTATGTAACAGCTGTGCCGATTCTCTTCGTTATCAAGCCAACAATTGTCCTATATGCAGAGCACCATTTCGGGCCCTCCTTCAAATCAGAGCCGTACAAAAATGTTCTACTCCTCTTCAGATTAATAGTTGTGGAGATAATCAGGTACTTACTAACAATTAACAATTTGCACTTTCTTTGAAAATACAATGTATCTAGTCTAAATATTCTAAGATGCCACATTCAGATTTTAAGATTATAATATAGTACTTAGTTTATCTCTCTTATTTTTGTGGGTTCAGTAGAAAATTTATATTTTAGCAGTCAAGAATGTTATAATTAGGCTAGAAAAACAATAATGAATTTTAAGTATTGTAATAATCCAGATTTTATTGAAGACAATAACCATAAACTACAATATGGGTAAGGGTTCTGAAATTCTTTCTTTTATCTGTAAACTTTCAAGTTTGAGAATTTCAATACAGCACTTCTAACATTCAAAGGTTTCCAATGACAACTTTATTTACTTAATTTACTGTTACATATGCATTTTGGAATGATATATACTTTCATTCCCTCTTCAGTGCTGTTTAGGTTAAAAAATAATAGTTTTGAACAATTTTTAAAATTCATATACATTCAGATCATATACTTTAAAAACTTGTTAAAAAATACAAGTCTTTTATTCGTAATGGTAAATAAACGATTTAACACTTACAAACTATAAAAATTGATATACAGATATTTCACATAAATATTATAACATATTACTTGAAAGTTTAGAGAGAAAAGAAAGAAATTATAAACTAAATTTAATTTTACCAGTATGACAATAACAAAAAAGTTACTGTCATACTGGTAAAATATAAAATATTTATGATGAATCTTAAAGTAAAGTAAGTTATATACTTATTAAAGCAAAAGGTTATTTTGTAACATAAGGCAATTTCTCTCTCTCCTGTGGTCACTAAGAGGACCTTTTAATTTTATCTGTTTTGGGTTTAGTCAAGTCAACAATGAGAGTAGTTGGGTGATGAGAAAGGAAGCCCAACACTCAGGGACAAAACTAATTGTAAAATTTGTAGGATTTCTAATCCATACCTGCACCTAGGTCTGTCCAGAGTGTAAGGATGATGCCTTTTCTGTCTTGGCCAACTAGTTGTCATTAAGAATATAACATTAATAAAACAGTTACTAAAGAAAAATATTGATGTGTAGCAGCACAATATGTGATCTGTTTAAATATTCAATTAGGACTGTTGTCCAGTTTTGGTAAAACGTTTTTGTTAATAGGCCTACCTAATATTTGTAAATATATTAGCATGATTCCAATATTAATACTAATAATTAATAATACTAACTACTAATAATAATAATATTTGTATACAAATACAACAATACAAAACTTTTGTTTAATGTCCACACAAGTACACAACAAGTACATTTTAGCTATAATACTGCAGCCCATTCAAAAACACTAACTTAACATGATCTGAGGTAATATTTAAAGTTGTGCACTCCTAATACATAGATTTAAAAAATTAATATATATAAAGCTTTTGATAGCTAAATTTGCAAATTTTGAACCAATAAATCTTTTTTTTCATATAATAGTGAAGATTAAAGGTTTAAATAAATATTAAACAAATAATTAAATATGAAAGTACTAGAAATCTTAAATTCTGGCTTTTTGAAATTATGTTATATATAACTTTATTATTGATTTGGAAATAAGTATTTAGTTTTTATGAAATAATATTATTTTCAGGTACCCCAAGATGTACCACCAGGTTATGAGGCTGTTCCTCTTATAGAAGCACTAAATGGACCTGTACAACAGCCTTTACCACTGTCTCCTTCCCCAAGTAAGCATATTAGTTTGCTGTATATATAAATATATTTTAATGATAATTAATTGTATATAAAACCAATCCTGAATTATATAAACATATTTGCTACAAGTTGACAAAATTGTGTTGTGTGAAGGTGGCATAATAAAATCACATCAAACCAGCAATGAATGTGTTAATTAATATTTAAATTATAAAGCCAGATTATCAGATTCTAACATGCTAATTAAGTATAGATATTATATAATTTGAGTAAGGTAAGTGAATAAATTTAATACAAGATGGGTGATGTAAATTTAATAAACAGTAGTAGTGAGTTTGAGTTCCACTCCAGATCAATCCTTTCTTTCAGAATTTTCTAAGTTAATTTAATTTTTACTACTAAAACTTAATACAAGATTGTGACTTAATCACTTATTTTTTAGCCCAAATTATATAATATCTGTATATTTAATTAGCCCTGTCACTGGTCTACATAACTGACTTATAAATAACAATTGTTTACAAGNAATTAATTGTTAAATTGTCTAGTAAAAGCGCCAAAAAAAATTTTCTTAAAATTCCACTAAAGAGAGCATCTTTCTTTAAGAGCATGTGGAACCTATATATCGAGCTTTGAAATGAAACCAATTTGTTTCAAGTAATCATAAATGGTTCAATTTGACAAAATTAATCTTAGTGATTTCCTGTGTTGTTATTCAGCAGTTTGCTTCAATCACTACCTTTATTTTGCTTTCATTGGCTTCAACTGGCCATCCAGAATGTGGTGCATCTTCAATTTTGAAATTGCCAGAACGAAATTTTGTAAACCAGTTTTGGCACTGTCTTTCTCTCAACATATCTTCTCCATACACGTCGCACAATTTTTTTTTCACTTGAACAGCATTCTTACCTTTTTGGTAATAAAAGAGCAAAATATGCTGAAAATGCTGCTTTTGATCTTCCATATTTGATGGGACACAAAAAATAAACAATTGCACGAAATCAAACAAAATTTTCTACAAATAAGCCATAAAATGCTAGCTGTCAAAATATATAATGATAATATGGTTTAGAACGAAAATGGCGGGAAAAATACGACTAATCCGTCTAATGATAAAAAAAACGAACTTACTTTCCGAACAACCCAATAATTGAGACCAGAGATATGATGATAATAATATGATGCTTATGCTTTGAGGCCAATTTTTACTGTTGTAAGATACTTTACAGCAGTAAATAGACATTAGAATTGTTAGGTCAAACAAGTTCACAAAAAGAATGAGCAACAACGTTTACAACATAAGACTTACGTCTACATGTGTACTGTAAGTATATAGTTGGCAAGTCTATTATTTTTGTTAGGGGAATGATAGAAGCTGTTTGGATTAGCATACTGTAATATCATTCTATAAAATGTGCATTTTAACTAAATTAATTTTTCTGTTCAAAATAATGAAGTAAAGTATTATTTTTAATGATGATGATGTTAAATATTGTTAGTCTTCTGGAAGCTATTTATTTTAAAATATTTATTTCATTAAGCTTAAATTATGATTTTAAGTTATAAGTGATTATGATGATAAAAGTCAATAACATAGAAGTATTAAGAAATACAATTACTAACACATCCAATAAAATTACTATTTTGACTGCTTAGAGCTCTCATTAAATCTCTTAACTATAAACTTCCATGCAGAGGGAAGACTTTCTGCATCCCTCGCATTTAAACAGTCTTCCTGTATCTTACTCCTATAAATCTGCAACTTTTCAGCTGTCAACGCAAAGATGGGGAAGATAAAGGTTCTATGATGGCTGCTTCATTCCATTTAACTACAGATCCTGGTGCTTGCACCATTTGGGACAAAATTGTTGCATTAGACTCCTTTCTGATATTATAACTATTTTCCTTGATTCTAAGTTCCAAACTCCTGGTGGTTACTCCAAAATAGTCTTTTTTAATGCCCAATTGCATATTCTCATAAGGAATTCTATAAACCCCTGCTTTCTCCTCTGACATTATAGCATCCTTATCATTTCTGAGGATTTTGTATAAATTAGGGGCCCTTTTTATAAGCATTCTCGAACCTTTTCTGCGAGCAATCTCTTTCATAATGCTATTCATACTTTCGTTATATGTAAATTTTAGTTTGGGACTTAGAATCAAGGAACATAGTTATAATATCAGAAAGGAGTCTAATGCAACAATTTTGTCCCAAATGGCACAAGCACCAGGATCTGTAGTCAAATGGAATGAAGCAGCCATCATAGAACCTTTATCTTCCCCATCTTTGGCGTTGACAGCTGAAAAGTTGCAGATTTATAGGAGTAAAATACAGGAAGGCTGTTTAAATGCGAGGGATGCAGAAAGTCTTCCCTCTGCATGGAAGTTTATAGTTAAGAAATTTAATAAGAGCTCTAACAAT